TTCCTTCCCTCCCTCCTCTCTCTCTCTCTCTCTCTCTCTCTCTCTCTCTCTCTTTCAAACACTCGCTTTACTATCGCTTCAGTGGCTAACTAGATTCGTGACAGAAATAATTTTGCGCACGAGATATTATATTTTCTTAGAGAAAAAAATAGCAAAAGTTTTCTCCTTCTCTCTGTGCAGAGAAACGTTCAAGTTAGTTGGTGAGATAGTCATCAAATAGTCCCAATATCTGGGCAATAATAATAAAATTGTCTTTTTCTTCTATCTCTATCTCTTTCTTTTTCTATTTCATTTTCCATTATCGAGTTCCGTCTTTCTTCCGCTTTTTCTCTGTATTTTTCGAAGAAAAAGCAAAAATCGCTCACTACTGACGGTCACGTTCGTTTATTCACGTTTCGTATATCCAATCGTTTGATATTTCAATAACGCAGACGAATTGTTAGCTTTTCATTACAATGGTACATATTACTATTTTCGTTTCTTTATTTTGCTTATTTATTTTTTGTTTTTTTTTTGTTTTTTTTTACTTTATCACTATTCTACATTATTCCACTTATCCATTTTTCTCCTTTCTCTCGAAAGAGGAATGCGTTTTATATACACTCTTATACATCACGTATTTTGATTGCGTTATTTTACGATTATCCTTATATGCATTTTAATATTCTAGAAATTGTAATTCTCGTTGCATTATGCGGAAAGATAAACCATGGTTTTTTTTATTTTTCCTTTTACTTATTTTTTATACCTCTAGCAATAAACCGGATAGTATAATCAGAATGCTCGACCTCGTTACAACGATTCCATCGGCATTCGATGAGAGGACGTTTGATGCTATTCCCGTATAAATTACTTGCGGTCAGGGCTAAATTCAAATTGATATTTAATCGGTAATCAATTCAGCGCGTATTCAATATCGGTCAATGATACCACTTCATTTATTTCCTTTATTGCATCTGACAGTTTTCGAAATTGACTTTCCATTACAAAACGATTCTATACGATTTTGCATAATTTTCTTATCATATATGCAAAAGCATGCATTTAATTTTACTTTAATTTTATTTTACTTTACAATATAATTAATTACCAAATATAAATATGATATGATATAAAAATGATATAAAAATTCAGTTACAATTGAGATTTACATAGTTAATCTTTTATAAAAAGTGAGACAGAAGAGATGAACAAAATTATTTTATATTTTTATACTTTATAAATTGGAAAAATAATGTTTTGAAAGTGATTTATGTAATATTAAATTATTATTTATATAAACTGCTAAAGCATTAAATTAATCAAATTTAAATAATTAAAAAATAAAATTTGGATTTCAAACTTTATATGTATGTATATATAAAATATGTGTATATTCTTTGACTATGTTTCTAATATTTATAAAATGATTGGATCTGAGAATTAAATGGGGAATGATGAAAGGTAGAAATTAAATCGTGTTTATAATTTCGGTTACAGAGATAATGGTACTGGACTCGAGTGCCGAGAGAATACCTGAGAACCCGAATAAAACTGAATATCGTAATATTACACCGTAATATCTGAAATGCAATATTTCGCGACGACTTTCATACGGGCAGTGTTTTAATTTCCGTTATTCCGTTACGTGACTGGGCGAGTTCGCACGAATACACCCACGAGTACACCCTCGTACGTGTGTGAATCCTTTAAATAGGGGCTTTTTGCCGGACGCTATTGTGGAGAACGAGATTACGATGTACATCCAGTAAGCTACCCGTACATTATGATTGTTACAAATTTAATGCTTCCATTTCGAGTGTATGATAATAGGTTAAGCTCGCCGCACTATGTCCGTGAACATTTTTAATTAAAAACACTCTATGCACATGCAGTTTTTTTTCCTAGTATGAATTATACCGAGATAGAACGATAAGAATTAATGTCCGTTCGGTTGACGTGTAAAAGGGAAGAAATCAAAACGCGCAACCTAATCTCTCTGGTGCGTGCATGATTTAATGAGATAAAATTTTATTAAATGGACATTTGACCCTTTAAGAGCGGACTCGCCAATTTTATTTTAATGCAGAAGGGCAAGTACAAAAATTTTAACTAAAAGCGCCAAAATCTACTTAGTATCGAGATATAATCTTATTATCTAAAATTAACCAAGTTTAAACGTGTGCCTAATCTTAATACGACATACGTTAATAAATTAAAATTAATTAATCATACATTTTTATTTTAAGCTATTAAATTATTTATATTAAAATATTATTTTGAGCTATTAATTAAAGGCGATACATCTTGATACGTCAAGCCACTGATCTTTACAATTAAAAAAAGTTTTAGGCATGATTGAATTTTGATTAGGTAGATACGTTGATTAGATAAACTAAATTAAATTAGATATTGCCATAATTTGCTAATTTTCTTTTAATGCGTGCAATATTTATGAATATATGCAATCATCATGAAATTGATTGAAATAATTTTTAGGAAAATATATATGGTATCTCCGTTAAAGATATTTCTGTTACGCTATTAATGCCATTATTGTAGACCTGTGGTGGGCAATTTCAAGCGCCCATTATTCATGCGCGTCACGTGAATTCGAACCGCGCGATTCGGCAATCCACGATTATCCGCCAAATTTTCAAATGTGGGGCCTGATAATTCATACCATCGCCCAGCGCGCTGCATTATTCCACACGACTCGTTACAATCTCTGATAATCAACCGATATTCCAACGGGATGTGCAAAATCGTTTTACAACGTGCATTTATTGTCCCCGAAAAAT